TTGGAATAAATAATTTAAAATCCGGTTATTATATCCTTGAGTGGTGATGGAGAGGCTGTGTTTCTAGTGAGGGGAAAGGGAACAAAGCCTAACAAAAACTGGGGTTAAAGCATAAGTAATGTACATTTGCACTCTGCTTCAGGCGGGGGAAGCAGATGATGAAATACTCAGAGCCCGTTTCCTGTTTAATTTTTGATGCAAAGCCATCAGGGAGTCGTTCTCCTTCACTCTCAATTTCAGGGGTCCTGAAACCTTGCATTTCTCTGCGGTAATAACCTGTGCTTTCTGCTCTGATGGATCAGTGCAGATGGAGCCCACACTGGCTCAGAAGGCTTTTCCTCCAGCCCACTACCTGGGCGCTTGCCATCCTAGGCCAGTTTCCTGAAAACCCAGGCTCTTCCTGGCGGTGACTCAACCAGCAGCTTAGAAAGTCCCCCACTCCTTGTTGTGTGTGTGGGGGGAGGGGGAGCCCAATTTGGATCAGCTGGGCTCATCCTAGTACCCCTCCTGCCTGCTCCAAATTACCTCAGTTCTGCCTCTCTCCTTTAGAGTCTACAGAGCCTCCCTGTGGGAAGCCAGTGTGGACACTTCCCAACCTCTGCTCCTTCCCCAGGTAACACCCAGAGAGCTGGTGTGTCTGGGTGCTACATGGAGAACTGGTGTGCCCTGGGGACACAAGGAGAGGAGAGCTGTTGTATCCAGGTGCCACACAGAGAGCCCGTGTACACTGATGACACTCGGAGAGCTGGTGTGCCCTAGTGACACACAGAGAACCAGTGTGCAGCACCACAGCTGTTGTCACAGGGTTTTTATCAACTGCTTTTTCACTTGTCCGTAGCTGAGAATCCCAAATGAAGCCTGCAAGTTTGGCTGAATGTTATCTGAGAAAATGCTTTAATCAGTTGGTGCTTGTGCTCATCAGAGGACAGAGGATGAGATTGTTACATAATTTTACAGTTTGATGGGAAATGCTGAAGTCATCTGGTCTGGCCCAGAGAGGGTGCCCAGGTCACCCATCATACTCTGTACTTGTGAAAGTGCCTCTCTCCATTCCATCTCAGCCCAGGGAGCTGGCACAGGACTGGGGTACCTCTGTTCCAAGAACTATCATGGAGCTTGTCTGCCAGTGGCCTTGGGTGTTCTCAACCAGGCTTTTTTCCCTTTGGTATCTCAAACAGGCCTTTTCTTCTCATCTCCCTCACAGCTCCTCTGTGCTGTGCCTTTGCCCTAAGCCACAGCTCCCTTTGTTGGCTCTGTCTCATTCCATTAGTCTCCACCAAGCCTTTCACACAGGAAAACAAAACTAGGAGCTGGTTTTCTGGTGAAGGAACTGTGTGGTGGGTTCAGCTCTCCCAGAGGTAGGAGCTAGTGGGGCCACAAAGCAGCAGAGGTAGTCATGGGTCAAATGTGTGTGGGTTAGAACGTGTTTGCCTCAAGACTGTGATGGCACAGTGGGGACATCAGTGTAGGCACAAACCCATGCCTGTATGTGCTTTACCTTTCTGCTTAGTTCCAAAAGTATCCATGCCAGGCTCCAGCTGGTCACATCAGCCAGCTACCACACACACACACTGCCCACTTCCCAGCTCTACTTCCCCTTTCTTCTAACTCCTGAAAGTGAAACTTTCCATTTGATTAAATTCAAGGTATTTTTATAGAATTTAATTGTAATAATTGACTTTGCTTCTGTCTCAGCAAAGAGTAGATGTCCCCCCCAGTGCTGCCGAACACTCGCTTGCCTGCGGCCGGGGGTTTATTGAGCATATGGAACTATTTATTGCCCAGCGTTGGGGCCACTTTTGATTATCTTCTGATTGCCTCTTAATTTCATCAGCAGGAAGGGCTGCATGGGGTGAGGTTGGTGGGCAGGGGGGACAGTGTGCACAGAGGGGTCAGTATGGGGGTGGGTGTAAAAGGAGTAACTGTTTCATCTTAAACCTATCCTTTCCTTCTGAATTTTAAATGTCTCCATCCTTGTCTTGGTTCTTTATTAAGACATAGAGAAAATGTGCCCCTTTACCTACCAGCATGCAGTCTCATTAGTCTGCATAAAAATAACAAGAGTCTTCAAGTCTCCCAGGAAATTACCGGGAGAAGAGATTGCTATTCCAGAACAAAGCCTGCCTTACTGATCATCACTGTTTTACAGAGGTGTACTTCTCAAAGTCAGGGGAGGGGGTAGTAAAGATAGAGAACTCACCATATGCGGCTGTGCACAGTCTTCCAGCTTGGAGCATGTCAAGTGCTGTGGTTTCTGACCGGCCTCACCCTGTCTGCAGCTCAGCCAAGGCCTCTTCCTTATCTCAGGGTCCCACAGGAACCCCATGAGGAACATGTCACCATTTTTTACTTCATGGATAGTGAATCTGGTTCCTGGAGAAACAAGCCCATCCAAGTAGAACTATAGACCCAGACCTGTTGAGTGACCACTCTGTGAGCCCCTCTCTTCAGGTGGGGATCCAGGAGGGCAGTGTTGAAGCCAGGCCTGTGGTACATTCTCACTCCCGTTGTCTTTAACCCGACTCAGCTCTGGGCAAAGATTGCTTTCATTCTTTTCTGACTCAGAATGTGCATGTTAAAGACCTGCATTTGAGGTGCCCACAAGCTGTCTGGCACCATCAGGCTTTGCTCCTTTCTAATGGTGGGACACAGCAGGAACCTTGGAATGTTGTTGACCTCTGCAAAGGCAGGCAGAATGAGGGTGATGAGAGTCCTGGCTGTTAGTGTGGCACTCTTGGAGAGGGGCCAAGAGAGGGTCTGGGATTGTGAGAGGATGCCTCGTAAGACTGTGGGTAAGCTTGGGATTTGAGGAACTGGCTGGAAAGTATTAAGTTTATTTCAGACATGACTACTGGTCCAGTGATGGAATCAGCATCAGGAGTCACCAAGAAGATAAGTTTGTTTTGAATGGCACTTGAGGGTGTCATTGAGGGAGAATGAAGAATACTATGCTTGGATACACATCCAGGGAAGACAGACAAACTGAGAGAGAAGCATCCTAGCCCTGGGGAGACAGCCACCTGAGATGCTAGAAAGTGGAAGACCAGGGAGCACTTCTTATGGTCCCAGAGGACACTTAGAAGAGACAGCATTTTCTGTTGCACACAGGACAAGGCATTGTGGCAGGGAAGCAATTTCCAAAGTTGCATGTGCAGCCATTCTGGGCTGCTTCCACGATGTAGGCAGTGGTCCTATTGCTAGAAGTGTGACCATCTGCACCAGGGAATGATTAAGTAAGGGACTCCTGGGGCTCTACCGTGACCCCTTTGAATGTAACTACTATGAATTGAAGAGCCTCTCAGCTGATCCCTTGTCTAGCTAGGCTGCCCTGTGGTCTCACCCCAGTACAAGCCCATTCTGAAATCCTTGCGTCCACGTACACCCCACTGTGATCACAGGACTCACAGGATCTGCAGTTGTCATCCCTAGTCATGACATACTTGACTCCCTTTGTCCACCCTACTCAGACCTCCAGCCACCAGTTGCCCAGCCACTGTTCCTCTCCATTTCCCACATGGCTGGCTGTTGCAGATGGATGGAAAACTGCTCTCTGTTAGGTGTTTGGTCACAGGGATGACAAAAAGTAACCAGTACCCTCAGTAAAGAGGAAAGGACAGCACATTAGGTCTCATGGCCCCACAGGTCCCTCAGCTCCCTGAAGCTGTGTGAGAGGCCCACTCCACCAGAGGGAAGGTCTACCTACATTGGGGCTGGTGGTACAATACACACTTCTAGGACCTTCCTATGTGACTAAGGGCCAGCACTTCTCTGAGCACCATCAGAAAGACAGGTGTGTAGTAACCAAGTAACTCAGGAGCATAATCAGGACCATGCCAGTGAGTGTTCATGTGTTTTCTTGGCCCTGCACTCATGGCCAAACTGTGCTATTGGGCTTTCCTCTAAGTCTGAAAGTGTCAAAGTTAAAAATGTTATAAGAAATCAATAAAATTATACTCAGTTACATACCCAGGCCAAGGTAAAGCCTGCCTTTGAACTCTCTAGCTTGTGTAGCCCCAGTTCACAGCACTCCTGTCCTGTGCTGCTCTCTTAGTCCTCCAAAAGTATGGGGGAGGGGCACCTGGCGAAGAGCCTCATGTAAGTGCAGCCAGCCTGCTCCCAGACAGAGTCCCCGTACCCCCATTATGTAAGAGGATGTGTTTATGAAGCTGCATAAATCAGCCTGCAATGTCTGAGCCCCAGAGGTCCCAGAGAAAAGTCCAAGGGCTGGCTTGAAGCTAGAGCAGGAGTGGGCATCCACCCGGGGGGGGGGGGGGGGGGGGGGTCTCAGACAGGGCTCTCAGCTGAGCACAAGACGTGTTGTCAAGGGGAGTGCTGAGTAGTGAGTACCCAGTGCGATGAGAGACTGAGAATGGCCAAGCCTACCTGCTAAAGGTCTGCCCCCTTTCAGTTTAGGGCCGCCAACACAGCCCTAGCCTTCTGGGCCCAGGCCGGTCCAGCCATGCAGACAAGAGGATGAGGAGTGCTGACCTTCCTAGCAGCACAGGGGATGGGGCATGTTGACACTACCTGGTCTTCCGGGGCAGATGGTCCACAGCCAGGCCACCTACCCCAGCCCTGCTGATTGGGCTTTTTCTAACAAAGTGTCTTTCTCTGCCCATGCCATCCTATCAGCCATCATAGGAGCCCCAGCTATTTGGAGCAAGTAGGTTATATGTTGGCGGGGGGGGGGGGGTGGGGGGGGGGGGTCATGATGGAGTCAGGAACCACTGTATGGGAACAGGAGTTCTGTCATCCTTCTCTCTGCATTCTCAAGAGAAGCTTGTCACACTAGGCAGCTAGAGTAAGCCACAGTACCCACCATGTCTGCTTCTCTCCAGTCTTCCTGGGTGATTCTGCCAGCAGTTCTGCTCTGAAAACCCCAAACACAGCCCTCCTGGCTGGAGGGTGTTTGTCCCCGTTGGCTCTATGGTTCATCCCTGTGAAGGCCTGGTGCCAAGGCTGCTTCGCTAACGCTGTGGTGCCCTCTGTTCTCTCCCCAGGCAGGCCTGGGACCTTGCTGTGGACATTTGCCTGTCTCAGTTGCCAACCATCATCGAGGAGGGCACTGCCTTCAGGGTGAGTCCCACTTCAGGAGACCCCTCCCCAGGGGGATCCTGTGCCTCCATTGCAGACACCTGGGCTTCATGTAGCACCCAGAATTCTGGGTGGTCAGGTTTAGTTTTTCAACTACCTAGAAAAAAAAAAGTACAACTTACAGAGTTTTCAAGATCGGGTCAGCCAGGAACTCAGTCAGGTTTTAAAATGGTTGACCTTTTGGGGGGTGAGGGATTCTGAGACAGGGTTTTTCTGTGTAGTACTGGCTGGCCTGGCACCCCACTTTGTAGAGCAGGTGGGGAAATGGTTGACTTTTAAAGGCTATTTTACCCCTATGTGTCGTAGTCATAATCGCTTTCTTCATTCAACCTCTCCTCTCCCCGGTTGGGATTATCTTATGGGTCTTTCCGGTGCCTGGAGTGTATCTCAGTCTCAGACCGTGCAGGTCAAAGTTGTAGCAGCTGCATGGGCTGTACCTGGTTTCACTTGGGTATGTACGAGTGGTGACGCTGCCCAGAGCCTTCCTGGCAGCCTCTCTGAGCCCTTGGTTTTTCTTGCAGAGCATTTGCTCCTAGTGAAGCACCAGGTCTGACTGAAGCCCTGTTCCTGACCTTAGAGCACAACAGTTAGAAATTAGGAACTAGATTAGGGCACAGGAACACAGAAGTAGGTTAAACACATTCTTGAAGCTAAGATAGGGCGGGGATGGGGAGGTTGGGGCTGCCAGCAACATAGGGGCCACATCACACTGCTCTGGAGGCCATTGAATTTCAAAACTAAACCTCTCTGAACTTTGGTTTTCTCGTTTTACTATTGTTGTTTGAGGCAGACTCCTTCAACACAGCCCTGGCTGTCCTGGAACTCACTACGTAGACCATACTGTCCTTGAACTCACAGAGACCAGCCTGCCTTTGCCTCCTGAGTGCTGGATTAAAGGTGTGTGCCACACACCCAGCCTGGTTTTCCTCATTTTTAAAGGAGATTCTGGGGAAACCCAATTCAAGGGGCTATGTATGCAGGCTAAATGAGTTAGCACCCCAAAGTGCTTAGGACAGGATTTACACATGATATGCCCTCATTTGGTCTTACACAGCTCACTGCCCAGAGAGAACTGGCCACTGACAAGTGAGCAGTGTCTGTCACCATCATCTGTCAGCATCCCTGTTGCAGAATCAAGCCTGGGCCTCTGTATGCACTAACACACTGCACTCTTGGTGTGTAATAGGCTATGCTAGCTCCCCAGATGTGCGCCTTGAGGTTCAAATGATGGGGCAAAAGGCTTTAAAGACGATCTCCTGGTCCCTTTTGTCAGTGTTGTTCTATTCTTTGTTGCTTGTTTGGGGAGAGGAGATAACATTTTATTATAGAAGCTTTTAAGCCTAGAGCGAAGATGGAAGGACTAAAGCCAACAGCCATGCTCCCACCCCTGAGTTCTGCTGTTAGCTTTCAAGCAGTGTGCCCCTGTGCCTGGAGCCTCACTGTGTGTGTGTGTGTGTGTGTGTGTGTGTGTGTGTGTGTGTGTGTGTGTGTGTGTGTCTGTGTGTGTGTGTGTCTGTGTGTCTGTGTGTGTGTGTCTGTGTGTCTGTGTATGTGTGTTACAGGCCCCGCCCTGAGTATCAGTGCTGAAGGGATGACACGGTTTTGTCTTTTCTTGTCTTTCCCAGGTTCATGTAGCATCCATTGCTCAGCTTCCAAACAGCCTGTGTTTCCTGCCTTTCCTAAACTGTTTGAGGCAGGAACGAGTCTCCTTCAGCGCCCCAAACCTCCATAGAATATGACACCTAGCCCATGGCAGACCTTGGCAGCTGCCTCCCCCTCTGTTCCCTACCCTCCATACAAACTAAAATAATGGCCCTCGGGCTCTCCCAGGAGGCACAGAGACTCTGGGTGCAGCAGGATTTCTGAAAAACCCCACTAAAACGTCAGTCTTGCTGGACAGTGGTGGTGCATGCCTTTAATCCCAGTACTCTGGAAGCAGAGGCAGGTGGATCTCTAAGTTCAAGGCCAGACTGGTCTACAGAACAAGTTGTAGAACAGTCAGGGCTACACAGAGAAACTCTGTCTGGAAAAACCAAAACCAAAACCAAACAAAAAACAAAGAGACTTGAGTCTTGTTGTCTTCAGATCTTGGCTTCCCTGATTAAGAGATGAGAACTCAGCTCCTAGAATCGCACACTTGGTATTGTGTTCCTTTCAGACTAAGTGCTTCTGTTCCAATGCCAGATATCCTTACCAAGGATCTCACTATATTATCTCTAAACTGATGGAATCCAAATTTTGCATTAAGAGAACATTGGGGTGTCAGGTGCAGGGTTAACTGATCTGGACCATGCTCTAGCTTTTTTATTTTATCTTTCTTCTTTTTTGGGTATATAGAATACATGTAGAAAGTCATATGTACCATAAACATATGGCTTGGTGACTCCTCACCAGTTTAACACACTCTCATACCCAGCCCCCATATAAAGCAGTCACAAGCTGCTCCTTCCCTCTGCAGCCACTGCCTGTCTGCTGCCATGCTTGGGTACGACATGGAGCATGCTCTTTGTGTCTGACTGCTTCCACCCAACAGTATGCCTTTGATATGCCTTGTAATCCCTTTCCGCAGAAAAAAGAGGGATGGGGGTCTGCAGGCTCCAAAATGGCTTCCCATCCCATGGCCAGTGTGTGAGCCTCACAGTCAGGGCTGGCTGGCCCAGGCCCAGAGACTGTGCAGCTTGAGACAAAGGGAAGCAAATCATCCTGACCTGTCCGTTTTAAGTGCTGCTATTATAAGATTTCACTTGTTTTTACATGTTATACATATTATAGTAAGATACTTACCTTCATTTCTGGAATTTGGGGCAAGTTCTCTCCCACCCTATCCTGTAAGTTTTGGGCACACTACAAACAACCTCACTGAGGATGTCCTGTGTGTGCTTGGGGAGCACAATGCTGTCTGCTGGGAGCTGTCCACGGTGTCTTTGGTTCACAGCCCTCCTACTGTGCAGGATCTAGCTCCACATAAATAATGACATCATGTGTCCCCAGTGCTTCCAGAAGGTGGGTTCCTGTTGTCAGGCAGGTCTGTCTTTTATACATCTTTCTGTTGAGCTGGAGTAGTTCTGTCAGTGTCCTTTGTCTCACTGTGAATACCTATTACTCTGCAGACTGCATTTTCTTCATGTTTTTACCTTTTTTTTTCTTTGAACAGACACCTTTTGCTAAGCAAATTCCTATTTTTTAAAATTTTGTTTAAAAAAAACAAAAAAGAAAAAAGCTAGGCAGTGGTGGCATATGTCTTTAATCCCAGCACTTGGGAGGCAGAGGCAGATGAATCTCTGTGAGTTCCAGGACAGCCAAGACTACACAGAGAAACCCTGTCTCGAAAAACCAAAATAAATAAATAAAATAAAAAATAAAATTTTGTTAATGGTTAGGGCCTTTGTTGTGCTGTCAAAAGCCATCTTGACTTAACCTGAGGCAAGCACCCCCAAATGCCGCCGTCTTCCCTTCCAGAGCTTCATGTTGCTGTTCCCTCCAAGCTCTGCCAGCCATCCATAATCACTAAGAGGGAGGCGTGAGTTGGAGCAGGAAGTGTTTGCTGTCCGAGGGATGCCCACTCTGAGTGTCATCACACTGGACCTGTGGCTGTGTGAGCTGCTTCCAGCTTCTCTGCTCTGTTCTCTCAGGCTCTTTGTCCAGGCACCGTGATCACAGTTTTGATTCTGAACATTCACAGATATATGCCCTCCAACTGTGTTCTTTTCTACAATTGCCCCAATTCCTTTTGACCCTCTGTGTTTCCGTGTGAATATTGTGGTCACTTGTTCATTTCTTCAGAGAACCTGCAGTACTTTGACTGAGTTTATGGAGAATCAGAGATTGAGTTGGGGAATACTGACATCTGTATTACACTGAATCAACACAGCTAAATTTTGGGGGGTTTTTTTCCCCTTGATTTGTACGTGTATTGTTTACAAGTAATTTTGTATGCCAACTTGACTAAATTCACATCTTTACTATTGTCTTAGTCAGAGTTTCTATTGCTGTGAAGAGACACCATGACTACAGCAATTCTTATAAAGGAAAACATTTAATTGGAGCTGGATTACCGTTTTAGAGGTTTAGTTCATTATCATCATGGCAAGAAGCATGGCAGTGTGCAGGCAGACATGGTGCTGGAGAAGGAGCTGAGAATTCTACATCTTGATCCACAAGCAGCCTAAGGAGAGACTGTGTGCCACATTGGCCGTAGCTTAAGCATATGAGACCTCAATGCCCGCCTCCCCACAGTGAAACACTTCCTCCAACAATGCCACACCTCCTAATAGTACTACTCAAGCATTCAAATACATGAATCTGTGGAGGCCATACCCATTCCAACCATCACAAATATGATAGTTGGCCTACAGTTTACTGGACTCATCTTAAAGCCTTGCTTTCAGACTAAAAGGACACCTAATATACATGTCTGTCTCCAGAGTCAACAGTTAGAAGTGACAGATTTTAAATAGTAAGAAATCAAAACCCCATTCAAATTGGTATTTATCAGGGTAGGAAGAGAGACCAGGAGGAGGGGACCAGACATCAGGAAGCCTGGGATAACCAGCTGAAATAGAGACCTTTCTGCAGGCTCTGTAGATTTCACAGGGGATGGTGTGAGCACTCTTGACCACTGAGCAGATTGCTATCATCTCCTCACTGAGCAGACTCAAGTACCCAGACTCAGGTCATCAGGCCCAGCAAAGGGAGAGCAGAGGAGAACAGTGGCCAGCTTGGTATCAGTAACCATGCCATAAATATGGCTAGGTTAGCTCCTGCCAGTGAACCGGACTCTGCCGCTCCCAGCTGACTCTCTCACTTTTGGGCCTTTCTTTGCTCGTTGGACCTATTTTATTTTAGACGTACAGCAGAGCATCTTGGGTGCCATTTCTCCTGGAAGACAGGCCATGCAGTTACAGCCGCGTGCCTTGCCTTCGTCCCTCAGTCTTCCCTGGTTGTTCCCTTCTAGTCTGATGACAAGGTCACCTGAGAGACCTGGCCCAGATGCCAACTCTGAATCCTCATGTGGGCCGCCTGTGCAGTCCTCATGCTGTGTAGCTGTCCTGGTGTTCCCCCTGGCTTTCGCCCACAGCCAGCAAAGGTGTGCTTTTCGTCTCTGGTCAGGTTTAGGTGAAGGAGTTATGTGTTGTTTGTTTGTCTGTTTGTGGAAAGGGTCTTGCTGTGTAAGCGTGGCTGACCTAGAGTTCACTGTGTACACCAGGCTGACACCTCCTGCCTCTGCTTCCCCAATGCTGAGATTGTCAGCATTTGCCTCCTCGCCTGGCTAGATGAAGAACTATTGTCTCTGCTTGAAACAGTCACTCCACCAGTGGACAGTGAGAATCTGTAAACGGAACCGACGGAGAGCGAGGGTGTGATTGTCATTCATCAGGATCTTCTGGAGTGTGGGGGAGGAGGCACTTAATGCGATTTTAAAACAGTTGGTGAATAATTCCTACTTGAAAATGAGAAAACCACTTAGGGGGCTCTACTCTAGCTTCTTAGGCTGCCCCAAATACAATTTCCTTTGTATGAGCTGCTATTACAGAGCCCCGGTGCCTTTCTAGGTGACAGGTGAACTTAAGGACCCTGTGTGACTGGGCTTTCACTACATATAGTACCCAGCTCTGATAGAGTTCTCAGGGAAGGTGCAGTTCTCAGGACAAAGCTGCTTCCCCTGACTCCTGGGCTCACAGTTACGCCTCTGATGGGTGCTGCTACCTCCGCCATGGAAAAGAGAAAGCCCCAAAGGAAAATGGTGCCTGAGAACAAGACACAGCTGGATCTTGTATGGCGGTGAAGCTGACACATAGAATGGGAAATTGCACAGGCCACTAGCCTCTTGCTGTCTCTTTCAATCCTGTTGTCCTCCTTCCCACCCAAGCCACCTGTTTCCTGTGGGTTGCATGTCATTGCTGGTAACTCTAGCATGGGAACAAAGGGACCTTGGTGACTCCCTAGTGGTCACCAGCCTCTCTAGTGGTCCTCCAGGACTCTGACTCCATTAGCCTTCATGCTAGCCAGAAGGCCCAAGCCCTACTCTATGGTTAGGTGCTGGGTCGTTGGTACTTACCCTACACTGCCTTTGCCCTTTTGTCTACTCAGCTCACACTGTGCAGCTATCCTTCAAGGGGGCCTCAGAAGCTGTAGCACAGTGTGACCACACGCATGTCCTCAGCTCCTTCTCCCTCTCTCCTGTCCATTCCCACCACATTTCTCCCTGACAGGTCTATGCATGCTCCCCTCAGAAACAAGAGTAGTAGAGAGGGCACCAGCTTCTCACCTCCGACCCAGGACTGCCTTGCAGCGTGCTTTCCCTTCTCTTCCTACAGCATCAGCCCTCCTACTGTGCCCCTCACTCCACTGCCAGTCGCTTGCCTGGCTCCTTCTCCATCGGCGTTCATTTTCCACTGTCTTCCCACCTCTAAATGCTTATCCTGGTCTGCTTTCCCCTCCACACACAACCTATGTCTCTCCTCCCCTTTGCAGCCACCTCCTTCCGCAGTGTGTCTGCAGAGGGGAGCCTCCGCCTGCTCTCTCCTCTGTCCTTTCTTCTCTGTCTTTCATGTCACTCCAGCTGTGCTTTGCTGGATCCAAGACAGTCCTTAATATTTGGAATGACCTCTGTCCCTGAAGTGATCCGCAGATGGATCGTAGTCTTAGTCTTGCTTGATTCATTTCATGTTCAGCACTGCTGAACACATCACTGACCTGGCTTCCAGAACTCCACATGATGTTGCTTTCTCTCCAAGACCTGTCTTCTTGGCTTTTAAGTGTTAGAGGTCCAATTCAGTCCTGAGTCCCTTCTCTATAGCTCAACTTACAAAAATAACCAGGCCAAATGTGGTGGTGCACACCTGTAGTCTCATCTCTCAGGAAGCTGAGGAAGGACAATGGTGTGCTCCAGGCTAGTGTGGGTATAGAGAGACCCTGTCTCTCAAAATCATAGTAGTAGAAGCCGGGCAGTGGTGGCGCACACCTTTAATCCCAGCACTCGGGAGGCAGAGACAGGCGGGTCTCTGTGAGTTCAAGGCTAGCCTGGGCTACTAAGTGAGTTCCAGGAAAGGCGCAAAGCTACACAGGGAAACCCTATCTCAGGAAAAAATTAATAATAGTAGTAGTAATAATAAAGGAATGGTGGTGCTGGAGAGATGGCTCAGTGGTTAAGATGGCCTAGTGTTCTTGCAGATAGCATGTGCTGCTCTTGCAGAAGACTTTAGGCCAGTTCCCAACACCAACATTGAGTGGCTCACAACTGCCTACCTGTAACTGGAGCTCAAGGGATCCAGTGACCTCCACAGGTACCAGCACTCACATGCACATAGACACACACACACACACACAAACAAACATGCATAATTAAAAATAAATCTTTAAGCCGGGCAGTGGTGGCGCAGGCCTTTAATCCCAGCACTCGGGAGGCAGAGGGAGGCAGAAGCAGGCGCATCTTTGTGAGTTCGAGGCCAGCCTGGTCTACAGAGCGAGTTCCAGGAAAGGCACAAAGCTACACAGAGAAACCCTGTCTCAAAAAACCAAATAAATAAATAAATAAATAAATAAATAAAACTTTAAAAAAGTAGAAATGAAATCTGCACCAATTCATGTCTCTGGCTAAGAGGCAACTACCCCGTGTGTGTCTTTACTCAGGGGCATGGCAGACACCGTATTGCACAGTGTGCACCCAGGCTTCCTCTTGTCCCCGTCTCTCTACTTGCTGACAGGAACATATCATCCAAGTGCTCAGGTTGCAGGCCTCAGACTACCCTCTCCTGTCCAGACTGTTAACAAAGCCTGGAAGACCTGCTGCCACCATCTCTGTCCCTCACGGTCACTGCCTTGTTGGGACTGAGGGGTGAAAGTGGTATAAAGAACCCTGCCTCACTAACCAGCTCTTTGCTTCTCCTACAGCACAGCCCATTCTTTGCTGAGCAGCTGACGGCATTCCAGGTGTGGCTCACAATGGGTGTGGAAAACAGGAGCCCCCCAGAGCAGCTGCCCATTGTCCTACAGGTCAGTTACTTCCCGACGGCCTAGATTGTCTGAGGCATCTGTCCCATGGGAGGAAAATGTGTATCCTGGGCACACGAGGGTCTAGGCAGTAGCGGTTCCCCCACAGGAGCTGTGCTTCAGGCAGATGGCACATCAGTGCCTCACATCTGATCTGAAGTCAGGAGAGGCTTACTTAGTCTCAGTGGCCTTTTCTTGGCAAAGCCATTGAATTCCCTTCTTCCTCTCGCAATTAAATATAAACTGGGATAGATCACCACACCCTCCCTCCTCCTGCTTGCGAGTCAGGGATTGATGAAATGCTGCTGCCAACGAGCGTCGATATGGTGCGGACTCTTGGCATACCACCTCCTTCTGTTTGGAAGGACATGAGATGCAAATTTGTCCTGTGAGAAAAGGATGAGGCCACCACGCAAATCCTAACTGGGCCACAGCATTCATTCTCCTGACCAGTACCAGAGCAGCACAGACAGGCCAGGTGCCACCAGCCTTCCCTTGGTGGGGGACCAATCAGAAACTTTAGTACCTTCTGGTTGTGTCTGCCAGTCATGTGCAAACTGGTCTGGTTGTGGGGAACCCCTTTACTGCTTGCTGACTTTTGATCACTAAAATAGCATGGAATAGGAATAGGAATAGTGGATTTGTCGTCACAGGTCACAAGTTTATGTTTTTTTAAATGTGCGTTTGTGGGAGAAACTGGTGAGCTGGGTTGTGACTAAGAAAAGCCAGATCAGACACTGAGGACTTGTGAGTTACTCTAGAAGCCAGAAAATACTATTTATCAAGTATGTGTGTGGGAGGAGGAAGAAGGGGCTATGTCAGAAGCTGTGGAAGTCAGGAGCGGGTATCAACTTGGAAGGGTAGGAAGCCATCCCACATCCCTGGAGGAATAGAGGACAGGCTGCCCTCCAGATGAGAGGTACAGAACTTGCCAAGGGCCAGTGATACTGCCATCACTCTCCAAAGCATTTATCAAGTTACTTCCCTCTAGAAAACAGCCATGGGTCTGATTTCCACCTGTCCAAGGACATTGGCCTTGCTTCCTTCCAAGAAGGGCTTGTGTTTGCTCATTAGGGCTGCTAACCACATTGTGATGGGCAACCATCCATCTTCACTGGGCCAAGTGCTCAGAGCAACTGCAGCTCAAAAATCTCTCCCCATAGAAAACAGTGGACCTTCCTGCCCAGAGTCTCTCCCATAGGACAGCCAGCCTCACAGCCTCAAGGTGACTCACCTACCCTAGAACTCAGTTTTCTCCCCATCTAGAGTCCCAGGAATCCCAGTCAGACAAAAAAGAGGCAAGAAAGAAGAGTGCATGTAAATGTAAAATGTAACAATAGCCTGTTCCTGCTGAAGTGGGGCCTTTAAAGAATGACATGGGTCAAACTGGAGGTGATGTTATTGTTACTTCTTTTCTGACATTATGAAAATAATTATCACTGCTCCTCTTGCATGTATCTAGATTAGTTTTAAGACTGTCCTAGGATTGCAAAGTGAGCTACAAGCTGTAGCAAATGTTTTCCAAAGTAACAACAGTTACAATAGCAGGACAAAACCTGGAGAGCTGAGGTGCCCATGTGATTCCAGGAAATGGCAGCAGCACTAGGGGCTTCTCTCAGGGTTCCTCTCAGGTCACCTGGGTCACCATACAGCTCTCTCTCTAACCTGCCTTTTACTGTAGCAGCACAGCAGAGTAAAGTTGGTCCTTCCTGCAGCAAGGCTGCAGAGCCAGGCATGTTAATCCAGTTCTTTGGGGTCTGGCAAACAGGCCTTTTGTAAACGGCTTTTATCGACTTTACTTTTCATGTTCCATTTACAACTCACACTCTTTCAGGGAAAGAGAAGACCTCTAGAGCCAATCTGATGCCAAAACATGGAGAAATAGTTGCAAAAAGAACATGAGCTATTTTCCATGTGATCTTTCAGGAAAATGTAAGCAGCAGGTCCTCCACCACACGCAAGGCTCTGTCTCCCCAACCAGGCCCCGCCTGACTCAGGGGCGAGCCCTGATGAGCAAAGCTAGGAATGGGAGAGGAAAGGCAAAGGCGAGGGGCTGTAAGGGGTTCCAGCCCCGGGAAGCCCACCCTGGCCTCACTCTTGGTACTTTCCTTGCTTTGTCCTGAAAACCTTTATTGTTGCCAAAGCCTAAACAGGCTTTTCACAAGTTATCCTCCTGCGCCTTGGCAGAGCTGGAGATGTTACAAAGGGAGAAAGCATTTTAATCCAGACTGTATCGATTCTCTTCAGGTGCCTGCCACTCCCATAAGCCAGAGTGAATTTCTTCCACCCAGTAACCCAGAAGCATTAGCTGCTGGTGTGTTGGAGCGCGGAGAGGTTCCATCAGGCTGTTGTGTTGCAGTTCCTGATAAACCGTAACATGTACCTGGGCCTCTCCCACCCAGCCTCAGCATCCTTTCTGCCTTTAAAAATGAAATCAGCAGAAAGGAGAGAATGTCTTTTTCAACTGCTACTTCCTCCAACTTGTCAAGACTGACATCTATAGCCACTGTCTGCTTTCAATAAGCAGTCCCAAAGTGTGGGCCTTTCTGGCTTTGTGTGGCTGTGCCTGGGACCCTCCATGACTGCCGTCTCCTCCTCGGGGAGGTAGGTGGGCAGAGGCACCCCAGACAGAAGAAGAAAGAAAGTCAACATCAAGCAAGAAAGGCAAGAGTGAATTTACAGGGCGGTCATTCTCTTTCACGGCTGCTACAGAGTCCCAAGCGTTTCACCCGGGTGTGTTTGCTGTCAGTGCGTCTTGTTTCAGATACAGTCTGAGCCTGGACGTGCGGGGCTGTGTCCGGAGGCAATGTGGTGGCCAAGCTGCTGCCATATGTTGTCTGCCCCTGTACTCTATGATGGGCTGCCTTCCGAAGTTCCTGGGTCCCCCTGCTGGAGGGAGGTCCTTGCCCCCCAGAGCCTCAGTTTCTCTTCGTGTCTCAGGCAAAAAGCCTGAGCAATGTTTGTACACCATGAAGCAAACATAGGTTACCTTGACAGACCCTGTTTCATAGACTGACTGCCACAAATGAACAGGAACCCCAGAACCTGCTCGGTCTCAGTCATTTGTGATTTCCTGTATCTGTGATAGCATGAAACAGGAATTTGGTTCTTGGTTGTTTGTTTTTTAATTTTTAAAAGATTTATATACCTGGGTATTTTGCCTGCATGTATGTCTATAACATGCACACTAGAAGCCAGAAGAGGATGTCAGATCTTCTGGAACTGGAGTTACAGATGGTTGTGAACCATTATGTAGGTTCTTGGAATTGAAGCCAGGTCCTTTGCAAGAGCAGCTGGTGTTCTTAACTGCCAAGCCAGATCTTCAGCCCCCCCCCCACCACCACACACACACACTTTCTAATTTTTTGAAGTACAAATACACACCCAAAAAAGCCAGTCTGTATTCTTAAAATAATTTTAATTCATGTTGGACTCCAGCTTTTTAAAGGTATAAATCAATAAAAGAAACAGGAAACGTGCTATTTGAGGGAGAAAAAAACTAAGTAATATTTGACATTGTTCCCATAGTCTTCATTGATGATGCTTATTTTCACATAAAACAATAGTGGACAGTGTTGCTCATTAGCAGTCACTGTTATCTGATTTTGTTCCTAAGGATTGTTTGACCTTGTACTGATCATTAATAAATCAGAGCCAAGAGATGTTGGGTACTTCACCCAGTCACATCCCAGTGAGTGCCGTGGTGCTGCCTCTTGTTAGAAGACTGAGGTAGTTAGCCGAGGGTACTGTGGAAATGTCATGCAGATATTGCAACCTATAATTTTACTTCTCAGATTTATCCTCAGGAGAAAATAGTTGTGAAAATGTGCAGAGATGTGCAGATTAGGCTATTTGTCACAGAATTGTGATATCTAGCTTTGGGGGAGCTGTTTAAACAAACTGTACATTTATACAGAGGACATACTGTGCTGCCATTGGGAGAGAGACTGCTGTGGGTGCTAGGGATGGGGAGTCATCCTCACCATGTGTCATCATCAGTTGAGAAAGGAAGTGGGAATAGAATGTATTGCCTGGTTTAGACTCATCTGGGCAAGGGTATGCATAGAGAACAATGCCACCAGCGGTGGTCCTGTTGAGCACAGTGCAATGTTCCTATGTTCTTTGTGCAGGCGGCATGTTTTACTTGGGTAATGAAGAAGTGTTTTTTCAACCTATGTAAAGCATTAACTACACAGGCAGCAGCTGAGCTACAAAAAAGAACCATTGGACATGGGGACATTGTCTTGTCAGACCCCTTCTGGGCTGCCAGCTTTTTTAGAGAGGTGACAATCAGTGTCATTTTGTTGTTCAATATCTTTCTTGCTTTTCCAGGTGCTGCTAAGCCAGGTGCACCGGCTGAGGGCCTTAGACTTGTTGGGACGCTTTTTGGACTTGGGTCCCTGGGCGGTGAGCTTGGTACGTGCCTTCTACCTTACCTGGGGGAAGAGAGGGAAGTAGTCTGTGAACTCCAAACCAGAACCAGCCATTCATGTGAGCCAGGGTGAGCGACTCTCTCCCTGGTGCTTTTGTCATCGGTCCCCCTTATTGTTAGACTTTCCAAAAGCCAGGAGCCACACAGGCAGGTAGGCATATGCCTCCCATGGCCTTTTGTCCTCCCAGGAAGTCCACACCCTCACACTGTCTGCACAGTGACCTAGACACGGTTCTGAACCATTCTCTGCTATGGCATAATCCCTTTGTAGAACTGTGAAGATTGGTTGCTGTGATTGGTTGTAAGAGCTAGTCAGTAACAAACATTTATATGAGCCTCTGTGTGGTTATTTGGGAGCAGGCAGTTGGGACAGGAAACTTCTGCCTACAATTCTTCTGGGTCCTCATTCTGCAAAAACAGAAGTAGAACCAAGCAGTGATCCATGTTTCCAACAAATAAGTCATAAGGAAACCAAAGAGAGCTGGGGAAGCCTGCAGACTGAAGGAGCTTTAGAGCCTCCGACTCTGCGGTGTGGACAGCTTATTTGGCTATTTTGACAAGTGAAGGTTTAGGGCTAAAAAGATGGGTCAGTGGGTAAAGTTCCTGTGAGTAAGCATCCTGCATCTGTACTCCACCACTGGGGAGGCAGAGATAGTGGATGGGTCCCTGGAAGTCATTGGCAGCCAGTCTACCCTTACCACTAGGCTTTAGTACAAGACCATCTCAGAAGATCCGGTGAGGTAGTAGAGGAAAACACCCAAACTTCTGTTGGCTTCCTCTGCACACACAAGTGTTCCAACATACAAATGTACACATACACACATACACACCTATTTACAATAATTTAAATAAATGAAGTTTGGACAATACTGATGAAACAATTAAACATTTTATATGAATTGGTTATTTTACCTTTTAAACAGTAGCTGTCCATTGTGACACAGTGAAATTACCTACATGAGGTCAGCTACAGAGTGCTATGGGATGAACAGGTTAGCAGTCTTCAGGTTTTCCTTAATTAGATATTGTCAACAGTGATCAGCAGGCTAACATTGAAGGAGGAGGGAGAAAAGCCTAAAAATAGGAAGCACAATATTTGAAGGAGGAAAGGATAACGTCTAAAGTTGGACAGAAAAATCCAACAGTGGTTCCTCCAGTGTGGTCCTGAAGAGGAAAGGCCAAGAACGCTTGCAACCTGAGGAGTGAAATGAGCAATCAGCAAGGGTGGACAGGGATCATCAGGCTCTGCTAACACTGTCTTTTACCTCCAGGCCCTGTCAGTGGGCATCTTCCCCTATGTGCTGAAGCTGCTCCAGAGCTCAGCCCGAGAGCTGCGGCCACTCCTTGTCTTCATCTGGGCCAAAATCCTCGCTGTGGACAGTGTAAGTAACCTCTGTTCATCCCCAAGGGTAGGAAGCAAGGCTCTGCCTGTGGACCCGGAGCTACCTCAGCCCACCTGACAGTGACCCCAGGTGTTAGGTGGAACCGGCTATTCCTGTGTTTCCCTCCTGTTCTTCTGGATGTGTACACTTGCAGTCTGTGGCTGTCCCCCTTTCTAGGTCTTCTCTTGTACAGGATTGAGTAAAACTCTTTTCCCAACGTCTGCCTCTGGTGACCAAAACCAGCCCTAGTCTCTACCAGTTGCCAGATCACCTGTCTATCTGTCTGTGTGTCCCTGGTACCTGCACTGTGACCATACCCTAACTATTCTTAAGGCCCTTCTCTGTGTTTCTGACAATGGCAGCGAGTGGCCCTGGACCCAGCCTGCCTCCCCACCACAGCTCTGCCTGCCACACCCTTCTTTCCCTGTTTCTAAACATGCTAGCACTGGCCCCAGAGCTCAGCCCGCCACCCGTCCTGTCTGTCCCCATCCTGCCTGTAGCCCTGGATGGACCATTAATGGTCCCTTCTTTACAGGTGACTTCCTAGCCCCAACACTTGGCAGTTGCATCATCCATAGCTCCTTACATCTTCTGGCCCTGCAGCCATTTGTCTTCTCCACAAAAATTTGGTGCTAAGGTCTGTAGGTGGCAGAGGTTAGCTGTCCCTGTCCTTGACCTCAGAAGGCTCACTATTCTTAGGGAACACAGACACAGACAGCTAAAAGTAAACACCTTACAGGAGCAGGAGTGACATGAAGTGAGTAGTCGGCCCAATGAGTCTGTGAGGAGGGCTGCTGTGACAGAGGACTGGAGACTGGCACTGGAAGCAAGCAGAGGATGGTGGGGAGGGCAGGGATGAACCTCCGACTGTCTTGAGCTGGCTGTGGGGCAGAGAACTGTAAGAACTAAACTCTGCTTTGTGACATGGATCCAGTGTGAAGTAGCTCATAGGAAGAGGTGACAGGAAAGAAGGTTCTCCCTGAAGGAGAGGGTTTGAGGTGGGTGCAGGGGACGGGCCATGAGGAGAGCCCATTCCCAGCTCCACCAGCAGTCAGGAGAGGCAGCATCTCATTCAAACCCTGCTAGTCCACCTGGTGATAGAGCAGTAGCACAAGACAGGTTCCCCTGAGCGATCGGGATGTGTCCCAGCTAACGGTCGTAGGCTGTGAGATAGAGCTCTGTGTGCAAGTGTGGAGCAGGTGCAGGGTGCCCAGGCAGACTCAGAGAAGGTTCCAGGTGTGTTGGCATCACAGATGAATGCCACCCTCTGCAGGGTTGTAGATGACGGGGGAAGTGTCTAGGGAAGGCCTTCATGGTTTCAGTGTACACTCCAGAAGGGGCACACTGTGATTCCCAGATGAGGTTGGAACCAGCTTGGCATGAGGAGTAAATGGCACTGATATGCATTCAGGCTGCTTGAGGGGCTGACAGGTGAGGAGGGAGGTGAAGAGGCATTAGCAGTCATCAACTTTGCTTATCTGCTTGCTTTTGAGACAGTCTAGAACAGATCTGTGGGTCGAGACTCCTGGGGGTGGGGTGTTGAACAACCCCTTCACAGAGGTCACCTGAGACCATCAGAAAACACAGGTATTTAATTATGATTCATAACAGTAGCAAAATTACAGTTATGAAGTAGCAACAAAAACAATTTTATGCTTGGGGGTCACCACAACATGAGGAACTGTATAAAGTGGTCGCAGCATTAAGAATGTTGAAAACCACTGGTCTAGAAGAGTCAAGTCCATTGCTAGCCAGCTTCTATCTGTATCATCATGGGTGTATGCATGTGTACAACACTGCACAAGGATTGTGTAGGAAGAATCCGTGTTCTTGCATCAGCCTCATGAAATGAATGGGACTTTGCAGCTCAAAGAAGAAAATACAAGAGTGAGTGGGTCATGTTTCTGACTTGTGACAAGCAGTGTGCGATGGCCTGAGGCTGAGTCTGGATCTAATTGTGAGGCAGGAAGACAAAGTCTCTGCAGGTCAGGGAATTGAGGTCATGGTGTGGCAATGTTACAGGCTGTTCTTTTACCTATGAGGCAGTGGAGAATAGAATCCTTGAATTCCTGATCCTCCTGCCTCTATCTCCCAAGTGCTGGGATTATATATGTGTTCAGTGATGGGAGTAGAACACGGGGTTTCATGCATGCTAGGAAAGCGCTCTACTAACTGAGCCACATCATCAGCCTCTCCCTGCTCACCAAAGTTGAGACCCAGGCTCCTCCTTGTTCTCTGTTACTGTGCCATGTTATGTATGCTCCACTGAGGTTGTCCATCTACCCTGGACCTTGTTCAGCCATATTCTTTGTGCCCCTTTTCCCCAGCCACCAGCTGGCCTGGAGACTGTAAGTGCTACATCCCACACTGTACCTTCTGTCTGTCCTGCCAGCATGCCACTCCACACATGCCACTCTCTCTTCACTCCTTCAGCCCAGACCTTTCTAATGACAGATCCCCTGGGCACCTGCTCAGCCCCTCCCACAGTCAACTTCAGACTCAGCTAGGCACTATACTGGCCCTGATGCTCATCTTCCTGAACAAGTGCTCATGGACAGCTTCAGTGTGGCGCAGGCTGTATGAGGGAGTTTTCCTTAAGGAAATCACACTTCTATCACGGTGCCTTCTCCATTGCCTATTCTCTGTGTGGTTGAACCTTGGAATTTTACTGCTGTTTGCTTCCTCATCTTGTGCAGCAAACCGTTGATTACTTATCAGTCTCTCGGATTGTCTCCGTAGACCGTCAGCCAGCCTGGTACCTCTCTAATCACAGGTCTCTGGTTTTTCTGGGCTGTGGCCCAGCCGGGACCCCAGAGCACTGCTGGACAGTTGCCATGCTGTTGCTGAGACACGCCTCCCATCTTGGCTCCTCCAGGGATGAACTTGACTCTTGTGGCCTCGTGTTCTGCACCTGGCTGACTGGTGAATGCTGCTCCTGTATGCTCTGTAATAACCAGATATTACAAATTTCAACCACGTAGTCACCTTGTTAGGGTAACTTGGCCACAGCACTGGGTGTAGGAGTTAGTGGACCTGGATGAACCCTGCTGCCCATTTGTTTGAGCACCCCCCTCTCACTCTCCTGGGCTGTCCACCTCCAGCAGCAAAATTTTAAACACCCGGACCATAACCTGGAAAGCTCTTTTGTGAATTTCAGTGAAGTGGGGTCCCTCAGGGAACAGTTTACCAATGTCATTTTTGTCTTACCTGTGTCACTGAAGTATGTGCTTGATAAACCGGAAGCTTGCTTTTGTGGCTCACAGAGCTCATACTTTTTGATTATTTCTATTTTACCTTTATTCAGATTCACTGAAAGGCCAAGTTACATAAACAAAAGGCTTTTCTCAGGAACTCACTTTTAAATGGCTTCTCTTCTACTCCATAATCTTCATCCTCTATGTCAATATGTTTAGAATTGGCAGTATTACTTGGTATCTGGCTGTGAAGCCACGTGGAAGGGCTTCTGGGAGTCTGCCATGGGCAAAGCCAGGGCAAAGGATCAAGGGCAGAAATGATCACAGCATGGGTCTGTGACTGTGGGCACCAAGCTTCAGGTCTGTAGTTCAGACTCTGAGTGAGACATGGAGTTTGGCCCTCTCTAGCCACTCTGCTAGTGCTGCATGAACACATGGGAACCAATTTAGTTATCATGGCTATCAGTTTGAGTTGTTGTTTTGTTTTCAGTATTTTTCTGCCTAAAGATAAATAAATATACCTACGTTTGAAGTCTTAGGAGGAGTTGGATTTGAAAGCAGGTAGCAATAACTTAACAGTGCTTCCCATGATATGGTCACTGAAGTTATAGTTGCCCACCATGTTCCAGTGGGTGGAGAACTGTGTTTCAGCTACTCTCAATTCCTACTTATCTCCTGGACACGTTGGTTTCTTATGCCCCAGGGGCTGCACTCAGCTGTGAGCACAAATGCTACAGCATTCTGAGCAAACACACATCCTCGATTCGCATTTGCAACATGCTGAAGGCTGTGTGCATGATACCAGTGCTTAGCTGGAAATGCCCTTGCCTGCAATGTTCTTGTAACTGCCTGCAGGCACCAGAGACCATCCTGGGAGTTAATTTCCTAACCTGTTCAACAGCAAGTCATCTTGCTGAGGGACGTTCTGAAATGTTTCCGGTTGAAACTGAGCCTAATTTCCTTCTTTTAATGACCTTGGCCATAATTCCCAGAGACAAAAAAATTCCATGTAGGCTTAAGCAGTCACTCCTCCCCTCCTCACATCTGGCCTTGCCATCTAATTGCCTCCCTGCCAAGCTCAGAGTGCCCCAGGTAATTCCAAGTTTGCCACTGTGAGGGTCCATAGTACATAGCACTCTACAGATGAAGTGACCTCTGGGCCATTAGTACATCATAGTCTACAGATGAGACGCCCTATGGTCTATAACACACAGCACTCTACAGATGAGGTGACCTATGGCCTATAACGTAGGACTCTACAGCTATGGTATCCTATGCATAGAGACAAGCCTGTTGCCACTGCTCCATCATTGTTATGCTGCAGCCACCCAGTTTTCTGGCATGCTTTGGGGGTCTGAGAAGGACAATGCCTGCTCAGGCTAGACTCTGCTAAAGGCACTTCAGGATTCTTCTCTCCTAGTAATCTGAGGAACACTACTGTGTGCCACTCTCCTAGAGGGTCTTGGAGGACCCAAGCAAAGGGCAAGAGTTATCCAGCCCTTCAGGTGGGTTTGGAGCTGGCTAGATGGCTGCTCTTCAAAAAGCCCAAGTTTTCAGTTCCCCACACCCTTGTCACAGAGCTCACAACCACCCATAACTCCAGCTCCAAGGGGTCATACACATGCATATGGCCTCCCACATACATATGGTGATTATGTGTGTGTGCACAGACACATAATACGACTCTTGAAAAAAAATGTGGGCAGAAGAAAAGCAGGCGATCCTATGAACAATATAAAGAGGGGCAGTGCATATTACAGGAACACTCACCTGAGACAACTGGCTCAGGACAGGGAGTACCTCCTC